TGAACTCAAAAGAAGATGCTTTGAAGAATGTGGGCAACTAAACAGCTGCTGATCCTCAGTAACTTCCACAGTGGAGAAAAAATGCTATCAGAGTCATTGGGGACCAGAAACTGTTTGGTACCCACATTCGTCAAAGTATCTTCTTTTATGTTCAACAGAAGAAATAAATTATTACAGGCTTGGAACAACTTGTGGGTGTGTAAACGATGACACAATTTTCATTTTTGGGTGAACTGTCCCTTTAAGTCAGACAGTCCATATTTTAAACCGCGCAGGTTTGTTTACCGCATGCTGCGCTCGTGTGAAAGGGCTTTAACGACGCGCGCTCTGGAGACTCCGTCGCTATGGAAACAAAGACGTCAAAATCACGCGCAAATGAGCTTCTCTAATACTTCATATGAAACTGATTTCATTATAATTGCTATTAGAATTATAAACAGTGTAAAATACTTTTGTACTACAAATCGTGTCCCGTATTGATTTGATACGGGACGCATCATTTTACCATTAAATAGGCCTACGGGACGATTCCATATTTTAAGGGATGGGGGGCAACCGAGCGGCAAACTCCCGACGGCTGGCTCCGCCTACTTTAGGCTTCAAAACGCTCGTCGGAAGTCTACGGGTTACGTCACGGACACTACTTCCATGTTTTTATACAGTCTATGGTGGCAACCCTAGTGAGAATTGTTCACTCAGGATTTAAGTTAGCAAAAGTTTAACATTCCCAAAATCAAACCATTCGTGGAAACAATGTAGAAATGCGAAAGAAAAAAGACTAGCTTATCGTATCGATACTCAGTCGAACAATAATCCATCATCTCATGCTCCAAAGTCCATTTATCATCGTCTCAGGCACAGGTTCGATGATTCAGATGACAAATGATCTTGCTCATGCAGTGTTGTCCATTGTTTGCTGCGTCACAGGCAGCTAACGTTTGAAATGCGAACCGAAGCTCACAAGGCTTAAAAAGTACTCACAGCTTCACAAACCACTGGCTTATATTAATAATGCGAAAAATTATTCTGTTCAGTTAAATCCAGCTGACGAATCCAGGTTGCCTGTTGTAGCCTACACTGTTCACATCACATCACCAGCACATCACATTTGAATTGAGCGCGAAAGCAATCTATCCCACAATGCAATGCATTTACAGTATGATACTGTATTTCAAATTTAGCTGGCTGAAAACAGAAAACTGCTGTATATTTACAGACAGTTACTGTTTTATAAAAATACTGTATAATACTGTTAGAAAATACCTGTAAATGTACAGTAAAGTTTTACAGTGTACTCAGTATTGTTACCTTTTGTGAATCTGTATTTTCTTATAGGAGAATAAGTTGTGATATCTTGCCACCTGATCTGGATAGCATTCCTTTGGATGAAAAGGATGTGCACTTAAATCAGACGAAACATAAAACAACGTAAAAGCATTAATACTTTTGATACTTTGATTGAAATGGACACTGAAGAGAATTAGGACATGATGTAGAGAAGAGGATCAGCTGAAACTTTCTTCACTCGCAGAGTAATTGTCATGATCCCAAGATTTCAGTAGTCAGTACTAATACCTGTAAAACGGTCACACCTATTATATAGCCTACCAATTTAAATATGACTTCAAAAACTTATTTTTAGATTTTTATTTTTATTATTATTATTCTTTATTAACTTTATTTTTCTAACCCATTTGGCAGACATTTCACCTTGTTTTAAGCATAGACTCATTTAATTTTGATGATTTTTTCAGAAAACTAGACCTAACATCTTAAGTCATTTTGCTTTTCAAGTAAACATCTAAGTTCAAGTAAATGTTTAAGAATGTGTCACAGAAGCACTGCAAATATGGAAAATAAAAAGGCACGATTTAAGCGTAGCAGTTTATTTGTTAATTCTACAAAACTTTCCATATACCCAGGAAACAAAACAGGTAACAACTTTAAATAATGATGAGAACAGACAAAGGGCAACTGGAACAGAGACTGTATAAATACACAGGGAGATAAACAAGAACAGGTGTGACTCGCAACAAACACGGTAATTAAACAGGTGGGGAAACTACAACAAAGGAAACGTGCACAAAACATCAATCTTAGAGAATGTTCTTATTTTGTAGTGGAAAACAAGACAAAAATACAAAGTAAGAAAATCAATTTTTTGCATGTGCTCTCCAAGTCTGCTTTACTGATACTGTAGGTGGTTTTACTGGTATTGTTACTGTTACTGGAAAAATCTATATGTTGCTAATTTTAATGGATTAACCACACCCTTAACCCGAATTAGACTTTACTAGAAATTTGCGAAGAAACCCGTTGCACTAAACCATTTTAGTTTTTACACAAATTGAAACTAAACAGCTTTAGTTGAATTAACATAGAACCTTAAGTTTATGCAGCAGTAGACAAATCACGTTTACATTAGTAGTCTTTACTCAAAATCATTAGTTCACATCAATTATTATTTGGAGTATACTGTAGATTGCATAAAATAACTATTGCAAGTTACAACTACAAAAATATATACAGTGGGTACGGAAAGTATTCAGACCCCCTTAAATTTTTCACTCTTTGTTATATTGCAGCCATTTGCTAAAATCATTTAAGTTAATTTTTTTTCCTCATTAATGTACACACAGCACCCCATTATAATTTTTTGCCTCTAATACACCACTATGTCCAACTGTCTTTGGGCGCGCACACGGCGTCCAGTGCGTGAGGTGTGTACGCGCTCTGGCGTAGTTTACGTTAATGGGTGTGTTGATATCCAGCCGAAGAGCAATCAACCATAACTTCAGGCGAGCAGGCTCAGAAGTTGGGAATACGTGGAAAGTCACCACTCCCGAATAAGTTAGCACGAGAGAACTCATAGATTTTGTTACCATTGCCATGCATTATACGACTGATAGACTGCAACGGTTAAAGTTAAAAATCATCATATGTGTTCTACTGAAGAAACAAAGTCACCTACATCTTGGATGCCCTGGGGGTAAGCAGATAAACATCAAATTTTCATTTTTGGGTGAACTATCCCTTTAAGTGTTTCTGTCACTGGTGAGCGTAATTTAGTAAAATTGATATGGGTGTCTGTCTTTATTATTACAGGTTTGGCTCTGTCTTCAGCTGCTGTAGTAGGAGTAAGTGCTGCTGTTCTGGACTGGGGCTGCTTGTAACTGCAGTTGCTGCTGTGATTTACTATAGCAAGAGAGTAAGTGGTGTCTGTCTCTATCTCATGTGAATTATCGCTGTTTATTATTTTAATTACAGAGCATCACATTCTCTGGCATTCAAGCGTGACTGCTGTATTAGCCTCCTGTGAATCTGTGTCTCTTTCAGGAGAATCATGCCCCAACATACAGTGCAACATTTTTTTTTTTCTTTTTGACACTTTTATTTAAAGGCACAGTGACGAGAAGAACTGAGAGAATAGGATCAAACTCACTGAAAGTAAATATTGATTCAAAATGATTAGCAATTAAGAAACAAAGTATCACATTACCTGCAATAGATCAGCAAGTGCTTGATGTTTGTCAGTATGTCCAGGTTTATTAAAGCTGCTGGAGATCTGTGGGATGTTAAAGTTGAACATCCATTACAGATGTTTTCTCCATCTCTGTGAAGCATGTTTAATGTGATGTAACTAATAGGTTTTCTTGATCTGTTTATGAATATTAACACTATATGCTAGAGATGACCTGCCTTCACTTGAATGTTTATTTATTTTGACATAGGCCTAGATGTTTCTAGTTTTACTAGGTAAGAATGTCTGCCTTAAGCGTTGACTTAGTTTTCCTTTTTAAGGGTAGATAAGTTAGAATAGGTAGATTTAGGTATATTTGTGCGTCATGATAGATTTTTGTCATGCAAATGTTTAGTCACATCAGAGTTAAAATCTGCCAAATATAAATCAATAAGAGCTGGACAGATGATTTTGTTTCATTAACACTACTTTTCCAGTATTTTGATAAACTGTTGAAATATTTAAATGATCTGTGCATATGAAATTTATTTCTGAAACAAGCAACAATAATATGTATGCATGTTCATGTGATAACATTAAAACACACGATTCAATTAATAACTGAATTCTTTGATGTTATTATTGTTGAATTCCTA